GAGAGAGAGAGAGAGAGAGAGAGAGAGAGAGAGAGAGAGAGAGAGAGAGAGAGAGAGAGAGAGAGAGAGAGAGAGAGAGAGGAACGGGGATATGGTGGAACGATGTCTTTCTTCCCACCTTCTGTGTAATTTTGACTCTCACGGGGCCAATTTTGTTGCGACTGTTTCAGATTTCTTTGTAAATCATCTCGGATTTTCTGTTTCGTATGTATGTATGCATGCTAATGACCGAACTCGTACCTCTTTTTCCGAGTTGTTTTTTATTTCCAATTTTGTTTTGTTCAATAGCGTTAGCTTAATTCAAATTTCGTCACTTTCTAGTACCCACCTGCGCCGCGTGCACAACGATCCGCAAGTCATCGGCTCTCCCGTGTCTGGCCGGATACGCTCGGCGCGCATGTCCCGCCTGACCACTTGCTCTTAGTTCATGCATACCTGCATAAATGATATGATGTATTGGTCTTTGATGATTGGGCAATCGCTTCTGTGTTGCATGATGGTATAGATATGTATGTAATGGTTGGATCTCACTTGGAAGACGGTGTTTGTGTAAGGAGAATAATTGCCTGCATATGGGATAGACCGACGCACGGACAAAAGCGCGTATCACGGACTTATCCGCGCGACAAGATACGATCTGGGCAGTCGGCTTGTGCAAGTGCCCGTGTATGACAGCAAGACCGGCAGCGGCGTCTGCAACATGCATGCGCGTCTGCATAGGCCCAGGCTGCCCAGCTGCAATCTCGCTTCATCAAGAAATGTGTGTAATTAAAGTCCATTGAGTAGGATATGGCTGTGGAAACTCCCTTGTGGGTCACCGACCGCGAGAGCTTAAGGAACCCAGAGTATCGGACGTATTGGGGGGGGGAACAACTTAGGCGGCGAAGAAACTCACGGAATCCTGACGACCCCTGTCAGACTGAGAATGATCGGTTGCGCGGGGGCGATTTCCAGTGGGCAATAAACCAGGGTTCTCAGATTTCGGACTATCCCGACACCCGCAATAGACAATATTATCTAACCACAGGCTTCGTCGCTATTACTACCCGCTTCCCTCCCTATTACGTCCTTCTCCCGTATCACAACCTAATTGTTGTCACATGGGACTCCATAGCTCGTTAGTGGCCCCGCACACCGTGCTCGGAGTGCCAACAATACAACGAGTATCGCGAAGCAGGGTTCATCCAACGAACCTGCTCCGAAGCAGGGCACTGGGAGCACAGTCTCTGACTACGGCCGTCCTCATCAGACTGTGAGACGTGCATTGGACGACGACGGTACATGCGCTCTCAGAGAGATACTCATAGCGTTCTGCCTATACATCAGATACGTCCCCGGCCCAGGCCGCAAGATCGGCGATCGCCCTGATTCTGAGCTAAAACGGGACGCTTGCACTTCTTCCTCTGAAAGTTGATGCCGGAGATTCCAGTTCCGACCTGGGAGTCCAGCCCCACTTTCCTAAAATCCTTGGCACACCCCTCTTCGCACTTCCAGTCCCAATAATACTCCGAAACAGGAAGTCGTGCTGGGCGTGAGGTTCAGGCGTCACAGCTCCAGATGAGCTGGACGCTTGTTGCTGATTCGAGGCGTTGCCGCCTTGTGTTCTTCGAGTAGGTCGCCTGCACGTCTCCTCCGTGTGAAAGAAGGTCCGGCAACGTTTACACCATTCCGACTCTTCGCAAGCTAGCTTGACTTCCAGCGTGTCACCTTGGAGGGTCGTCACGCTGATCTTGTCTTTCATGTTGGTCTTCATTGCTGGGTCAATGTCGAAGCGTAAGTTTACCAGCTTCGGATCCGTCGCACCCGTTTCCGGGAGTTGGACTTTAAGAATCTTGTCGATAGCTCGTTCCACATAAGTGTGAAGATACATCATTTCATCAAGTGGGATTCCCACCGCCACCACCCAAAAGGTATTCTCATCTACTGTTTTCCTTCAATCCCTTACTTCGGCACGAGTCATCCATGGCTTGAAGTCGAACCGGTATGTTGTACCGGGAAGATCAATGAAGTCAGTCTTCGGCAAGATCAATGAAACCAGTCTTCTTCGTGAGCATCCAATCGGAAATTTCCTGTGACCTTGGGATGTACGAGACGGCGTTCGGACTCTCACCTTGATTCTCCCTCTCTTGAATTCTGGTCCGAAGTAGTCGTCTCTAATCCAGCCGTCCTCGTATGCCCAAATGGCATCCTCCTTGACTTTCCTTGGTAAAAAACGGGCACCTTCATGAAATATTACCGTGACAGTTCGCTGTTTGGGCCATTTGTATTTTGATTTCGTCCAGCGAACTGTTCAGGGTAAATTTGACCTCCCTCCCATCAACCTCCATTTCTCCTGGATCGATGTTGGTGGGATTAATCCCATCCTCGTATCAAGCCCGAATCATCTCCTTGGCGCGTTCGTCTTCCAAGAGGTAGTCACTTGGTACTTGTCCTCTTGCTTCAGCATCTCCGCCTCCCGGCATTGTACGCTCGGCCCTTAAGGGGGTGTGCCCCGCCTCCATCTCATTATCTCCACTCTACACCCACAGACTGTCAACGTCGGTCAGTCGACGATGAATTCTTCGTCACTTGCAGGGCGCGAACGGAAATTCTAACCGCTGGCACCATCAGCTATGGCTGCCAGCCGTAGACCTACGTCGAAACGAAGGTGATGCAGTGCCACCTACAGCAGCTGGACCTCGATGGACCAGCCCGCCGCCGGTCAGGTTTGTGGTAGACAATGAACGCTAAGGCCGAGCGCATTAGCGCCAACCGTCGGACTAGGACCGTTGCGGCCCTCTCTTTTGTCAACGTTTTTGCCATTTGTTGCCAA